GCTCCATTGAAAACTAGTAAGTTCGAGTTTTGATCAATCAGATTTAGCCACTTTGGAAGGTGATGTGAATTCGAGTATTGTGAAGATCGCGAGTGTGAAGATTGCGAATGGAATAGGTACACCTCTGGATTGGTTTGTGAACCTTTTCCCATTCTCTTGATATTGAACTGAGACGCGTTGGGAATGGCGGAATCGAGTTGGTAGTAGATCTATCACAATACTGATGACAAGAGTGATAAGAAGCGGTCGCCAAAGTTGATGTGGTGCGAACAGCTCGGTGATGGCGAAGAGGTGATCGAAGTTGATGTGGTGCAAATCGTGAAGGTCCCAACGATGAAGTTGTGACTCGTAAGTCAGCCACCCTCTCGGGACCGGTGTGGCCTGTACCGGGGGTATATACATAGGGGACTTGGTTGTTTTTCGATTATGAGGGCAATCCAGCAGCGATAGTGGCGATAACGAGCGATAACGAGCGATAGGGCATTCCACTGTCTAGAGCAGTTGTACAGGTATATTGTATAGACTGCTCTAGATAGCTGGACAGGTAGTCCTGCGGTGGATTCTGAATTCATTCCATACACCACGGGGGCGTCCTGACCGCCAAAAGGTCATCCTCGCTGGCCACCACCAGGCGGTCGCTCTGTGCGGAGTGACTGACCACCAGCAGGTAGTCAGTTTGGCGACGACCAATTGGCGAACTGTAAGGTGCTTGAAAGATCAGCGGGGAGGCGCCTTACAGCTCGCCAAAAGTGCAGGCGTGCGCGGCCTGCAGGTGGCCTGCAGGCCATCAATTCAGTCGGGGCAATAAACGTGTTGGGCCGTTTGGATTGGAATTGGGCGGGGCAGGGACCGCTCTGATTCAAAAATGGGTAATAACGTAATGCACAATGCATTACTAGGCGGTGGCATGTCAAGGGTGCAGCTATCGGAAGAAAAGCTTGTATTGATGAGGTCACAAATAACAAGGTTGATTGGAAGAAATACGTCAAAACACTTTAAATGAACATCAGATTTTCTTCGATTGGTGTGTTGGATCCTGTTAATATGACAAAGTAGCAACTTTCATGACCAGACCGAACAGGAATGAGATGAAAAAGAAAAGAAAAAGTTTAGTCGCAACAATTTCATTCGAACTCTTCTTCAATTCCTTCAATTCCCCCAGCTTCAATCCTGGCCATCTCATCTTGTATGGCCTCCTTGCAAGGCAGATCAAAAGTCACCCGAGGTTTGAATGCGGTGAAGAGGCCTTTGCCACGAAAGTTCTTCCGATCCTCATGGTATACCAGTCTATAAAAGCTGCAATTTGAAACGGTGATTAGCTGGATGAGATAAAGCAACAAAGAGAACAGACAAACAAACTGAGACTCACCAAATATGCGACCTGTCACCGATGTAAATCTTTGGTTTTAATCCATAGCGTCTCAATATCACGGTTATCCTCCTCTTCCGCACAATTATTCGCAATCCACCAGGATACGAGACCAAAACGGCCAAGGACAGATGAAGAGAATAGGCTGGCTTACCCCTAGGACGTTATTACATATCATGGAACCGGCATGAGGGCTACTTCCTTCATGGTGACCTGTCAGACCAATATCAACAAAGCGGCCTGGATGTGTAAGAGACAGAGATGACAACTTGCCTGATGATTCACCAAGGTTTGGGCGACTTGTGGCCCCTTGGACGGCGCGTTGCGACAAAGAGGCCTCGCGATGGGCCAAGAGTGTGCTCGACATCCTGTCGATTCGGCCTATGGGATAGAATAGATGAATCATCTTTTCCTCAATGAGACGTGAAAAGGAAGAGCTGACCCATCGACGGAGTGGATAAACCATTAGCTCCCCCGCGTGTGTTTGTTGCGATGACATGAAGTGGAGATGTTGAAAACTGATGTGAAATTGAGAATGGAAAGATAATCTGATGATTCGAAGTTGAGGATGAACTTTGAGACAAGAAACAGGAGGACCGCAATTTTAACTCAGGTGAGGATGAAGTTTCAAACGAGAGACAGAAGGTCCGCAGGTTTAACTCGAGCGCTCATGCGAGAAGCAAAAGAGACCCAGGGGTGACAACGCGACACGAGAAAAGTTTTAACGCAGGGATGAAGGCCACCATGCAGCCTCTGATGGGAGACAAGAAACCCAACACGATATGTGCAACCTGGGCTGAGCCTTGAGGGTTGGGAGTCGAAACGATAAAGCAGGATAAACAAACGCAATGCAATGGTACACAAGAAACATCTCAGAAGACATCTAAAACACAGTTTGAGCCTTGAGGGTTGGGAAGTTGATACAATTAACCTCCATAGACCCAAACAAAATGGGAGGGGAGGATCTCAACACGTGCTGAGATTTGGGTGGTTGAGAGAGGCATGGTTGTGATGTTTGCTTGCATCGGTCCTGTCATCCACGCAGACTGATCGAAGGGCTGAGCTCAGCAGGCGAAGTCTGCCTCATCCTTGCGCTTACTTCGCTCAGCCGTGACTTTTGGGAAGGTGCCGCCCAATTTCACGCTTGACCAAACAGGGACCAAGCAGGCGGTCTATAGGCCCGCAGAGGGCGTCTACAAGTCACGCTGCTGGCCGCTCTGGATTGAAAGAGGGGCGGCCCGCGAAGGCCAGCCCTGGGTGGCCTGCAGTCTAGCCAGGGGCGAGTTTCGGGTCGGAATCTGACCTGACGTATTTAAGACCGGTTGGGACCAACTTCTGACCCAGGATCCCCCCGTGGTGTAGACAATCTCAGATTCCTCTTGAATTCATCATTCATCAAAATACAGTTTGCCTCAAAGTTCTTCATTCGTCAGTCACTCACTCAACGGTATAGCCAACTGATCCATGACATCAAGTTGTTGCATTGCTTACACAGATCAAGCTGATGATTAGTCATCTTTTATTTTTATCATGTGATCTCTGAAAGTATGAAGAACTTTGAGTTATAATTAGCAACAAGAGGCTTTGGATTTTACAAACACATCAGTTAACCCAAATGATTTGGTAAGTGATTTATAACGGTGAGGTGTATACTTAGATGGAGGGCTCGACCATAAATGACGTCTTCAAGGGGCTACTCTAGTCTGCAAGGCGATCTGTGCTGAGCAGAACATGAGGAGATTAAGGCGCGATTCGGCTCCTAGCAATTCCTTCATTGCCTTTTTGATTTTGAAACTTCAAACAGGTTCCAAATGACTCTCACAAAGCCATATCGAGTTTTTGATACCAAAAGGAGAGAACACTCAAACTTAACTAAGGCCCTGTTTGGTATGGCTTATAGATTTTATAAATGCATTATCAATGAATACATTATGCAATTGTAAAACGTATTATTTTGGGAATTCACGTTCCAAAATTGGTAAACTGCGAGAATCGGCTTTTCAAAGTCGAAATTGATGGATGGCGTTTGGTACGTACCATTCGCCATCTTTCAAAATTCGAAAGACAACACAATGTCCGATCTGTCCGATTCCAACGACTCGCGATGAACCAATTCATCAACCAAGTACTCGTCGTCTATTGAAGACTTGGTGGACAACCCTTAGAGAGCACATCAAACATCGAGTTTGATGACCAGATACATACTCAACTGGAATGAGAGCTGGTCCTCCAAACACTTCAAAGGAAGGAGGAAAAAAGGATTGATTGCCTCAAATGTATTAAAGCACAGTAGACCAGATATATGAAGACATCTGGAGCACAATGAAAACACAGTGGGCCAGCAAATACAAGAAAATAGAATTCCAATACAATACAAAAGACTAGGGGGTATGAAACACTTCATGAAGCATGAAAGTAACATGTCTAGAAACCCTTGGACATTGAATAAAGGCTTAAATGCTGATGAAAAAAACTAAAAGAGGACAACATAGACTCAAAGATAAAATAAGACGCTTGAATCGAGTAAAAAGGAGTGAGATGACGCATGGCCTCGTTGTGTACGATGAGCAGTTGATTAGTTCAGCAACTTAACCCCAAGTTTGAATCGCAAACTACACCTGTGGTCGCTTAATGGCTACCTTCAGAGGAAGAGCTCTTGACGGAATGTTCAGGGTATTGTTTGGTAATACAGGGCTAGTGTTGATGCTAAGAGATGACTTTGGACTTTGGTGTGGAAGTGGGCTGTCGGCAAAAGAAACAGAAATTTCAAGAGAAAAGTTGCCTTGATCCTGCCGAGGGTCGAGTTCGAAGGCTTGTCCTGGGTTTGATAATGGATTATTGAATTTTGAAAGCTGCTCCAGGGCAGCTTTCAAAATGCCACATTTTTGATCGAAATAATAGATTATCGGCTGTGAAATACATTTGTAAAAAAGGGGCAAAAGTGATACCAAACGGGTTTTTTTGAAAATGCGAAAAATAGATTATTTTTAAAAAATAATGCATTTTGGCGCATTTTTGTAAGCCATACCAAACGGGGCCTAAGTCCTCTCGCTGCAGTGGCACGTACCTGCCGCTCCAGCGAGGATTGGAATCTTCTCGAAGACTCACAAGGTTCGTTTAAATAATCTTCCGAGAGTCGGTGCCGAGGGTGTTTAAAAGATCTTTTGTTCGCAAGAACAACCAGCTAGGGGTTTTCCAACACTATGATGTGTGTATGAAGACTGTTTACCTTGCGGATGATGATGACTAAATCTATTGAAATGAAGTGATTGGGGTTGAAACAGTCAAAGATAGAGATGACTAAATTTGATGAAAGAATGGCGTGATTTCTTGGAATGGGTGTAAGGTCGAAGGATCAAACATTTTCTTGTTTCGTATAAATATCTCTAATCGATCATCGATCCTAATGCCATTTCACCATCCATCTTGTTTATTAGAACTTTTCATAAAGCAGATACACGCTTCAAAAGATTTCGAAACAAAACATTGGACTAAAAACCTTTTTCATTAGATTTCCAACTCGTTTCCATTTTCTTTTTCTTTCGAAATGTTTGATTCAGAAAGACACGTTAAATCATTGAGTTCAAAACCAATCTTAGACCAATCAGCCCACTCAACCCCCATAGAATTCATGAACAAGAACGAATTAAAATCGATCAATGCTCATCTAGAAAGTCTCTCACCTATCGAAATCCTAAAATGGTCAATAGATCATTTACCAAACCTATATCAAATCACTTCATTTGGTTTAACAGGTTGTGCGATCATAGATATGATTTCTAAACTTTCACATTCGACTTTAGTTCCTTTAATCTTTATTGATACACTTTATCATTTTAATCAAACCTATCAAACTCTTTCTGATTTGTCAGAAAAATATCATTTTCAATTATATCGGTTTTATCCTAATGGATCGAATCATCGAAAAGATTTTGAAAATTTATTGGGAAGTAAGCTTTGGGAAACTGATGAAGCTACGTACGATTTCTTAACTAAAGTAAGTTTCTCGAATCTTGTTATAAAACCAACATGTACAAAACTGACTTGTTTTTGTAAATATCTGATACTCATTTATGTAGATTGAACCAGCAAGAAGAGCGTATGAAGAATTAGGTGTCAAATCAATCATCACTGGACGTAGGAGATCACAAGGGTTCGAAAGAGAAAGGATTCCGATCTTAGAAATCGATGAAACTGGTCTGATCAAATTAAATCCATTAGCTAGATGGGATTGGAATCAAACATTACAATATATCAAAGATGAAAATGTACCATACAATCGATTAATCGATTTAGGATTCAAATCGATTGGTGATTTCCATTCGACAGTTTTACCTACCAAAGATGATGAATCTAAGGAAATTGTTGAAAGGTCTGGTAGATGGTCTGGTTCTAGGAAAACTGAATGTGGATTACATCAAGTAAGTTTCAACCCCTTCTCATCAGGTTTCGATGATAGGAAGATTCAAACTCATCAATCTCACTTTCGGTTGGTTGCTTTTTTAGGATTATTTTAAAGCTAAGATGAAGTATGAAAAATCTCAAATCGAAAACAAATTCAAGTCTCGTGATGTGTTACGTGATGAAATTTAATTCATCAAAAATCATTAAACCAATCTTCGATCTTTCAATTCTTCTGATTTGTTCATTGTTTTTCATCTAGAAAATTCATTTGTTAATCAGATATCTCTTTTGATGATTTGTAAATACAGACAATTTCTTTAGTCATTATTTCTTTTTGTGGCAACTTGCATCTCAATTTCTTTTCAGTGTTCCAGATGCAAATAATTTTGTTAAAGATTTCAAAATTGACATCAGTTTTCCATTTTTTTCAGTAAACAAGAACCGAAGCCATCTTTTTACCATTTTAGTCATTTTACCCAAGGTATTCTTGATGCATTGTGTTGACTGAATTTGTGTTCAAGAAACCTGTTGACCATTCCAACACTTTAATTATCAATTTGAAGGGTCCTAGTACAATGCACAAATTCAACTTTTGGCACAAATTTTTCATCATTCCATTTTGACTTTATTGAGAATGAACTGATGTTGATCAAAGTGTTAGATCAGTTTGATTTACCTTCTTGATCTTCTCAGGCAGATTGATTTGAAACTGACAACCCCATCATAAGAACTTGCTCAACTGATCAATATTCAAAGCATCTATTCAAACCCAGATCAATCAGTTTGTGACACCACCAATCTCAAAGTTGTGTATCTTGTCCAAATCGAAATTCATATCCTGCAAAACATTCATAGAAAGCATAAAACAGAACAATTTTGCTTGTCCACATCATGCAAGAACAATCACAAACTCCTACTACTCTTGAATGGGGTGATCAACTAACTTAACTAAGTCCCTCTGTGGCCCAGACACTTTTTTGTCGCGAGCTCGGGTGTCTGGGAGAGGGACTTAGGAATTATCGGCCTTCCCCAGTGTGTTGGCAGGGCCTTCAAAATGAAAGTTTGGCGGAGAGGTTTTTTCAAAACAAAAAAACACCCACTTCCTCTCAATCGACCCCCATGCTCATTTGAACTGGAGATACTTGTGACCACTGCCTTCAGATCTGTCTATTCATATTTCTTGTATCTCACTCTGAGCTCTCTCAAAAATGAAAGAAAGATTTTGAAATTTGAAATTTCGTGACTGTACCTTTAAAACAAAATTTACAAACAATCTAAATAACACATTCTTCTTTCTCTTCCAGGAGGCTCAATAGTCAATCAATGAACTTTGTTCAAAAACCAAAGTTGTTCATCTTAATGTCCTTCAGATTTTGTCCTCTCCAGAAATTGTGTATTGCCCAAACTACAGAAGATGCAAGATTGTAGAAGAGCAGGGACCCAAAAGGCCCTGCTGGTACACCAAAAACAGCCAATAATTTGCAAGTCCCTATCCAGGGCACCAAGCTTGCAAAGGTAAGAAAGCCCCTGCCAGAATTGGGACCTGTGTTAAGTTAGGGTGATCAAGTGATGATACTGCAAACATTATTCAACTTCCCCAAGTGGGCAGGAAAAAATGATTGGGAGTATGATTTGTCATAAAATGATCTATCACTCCAAACCTGAGCCATAACACCCACACTACATATGTGTAGCAGGCTCAGTGAATAGGTGGTTATCATGTACATACATGTTTGCTCAGTTATCTGCTCATCAGGATAAGTTATTCATATGTAATACATGCTGTAACTTTTTTCAGATTGACAAAAACATTCAACAGATTGACTACATACACTGACTCAACATTTTGGTGTAATCTCATCAACTCAAATGCATGCAACACCCTTTCTGTTACTACGAAATAACTTCAACAAGATTGCCTGAGAAGCTACAGAATTATATGTAGTAAATTTTTGGGACAATTTTTGCAAAGTCAAAAAAGTTACATGTGATATAACATGTGATTTATTTATTCTGGTGGGCAGAAAACTGAGCAGACCTGTATGTACATGATAGACAACTATTTACTTGGCTTGCTGCACATATGTAGGGTGGGTGTTAAGGCTCGGGTGTGCTGTATTGAGTCCATTTATGACAAACTGTACTATTGATCATTTTCCTCTCCCAACTTGAGGAAGTTGAATGATCTTCACAGTGTGAAGATGAGGATCATGATGGATAATGGGGAATATATGATCTCATTTAATGGAACCAAACAAATTGCTCTCCTTATTCTTACACAATCTTTTGATTGTCATCTCACACCTCTTGTACCCCAGTCAAAGTGAGCCCACCTGACCGCCCTTTAGGTCAACTCAGATCTTCTCAAACCTTGTGTCCACCTAGTACTACCTTCCATACATCTAACAAACCAGAAGTGCATGAGTTAGGTATGAGAACCCTTGTAGTCTTTACTTCCATGTAAGCCAGACCATATGCTAGAATTGCTGGTCACCAGACTGTTGGATAGATAGAAAACTTTGATGTACCAAAGATTAGTATCAGATTCTGATATATTGAAATACAGCTGATGTGAGAAAGAATGTATTTATCAAACTTACATCATGGAATACAAAGCCTGTTTTGCTTCTTGCCCAAGTTTTGTTCTCTTCCAATTTACAGCATGTGGAGATGACAAAACCTGTAAAACCGGTTTTTTGATCATTTTTTGACCATTGGTGCCAACAACAACAATTTTTTTCCAAAGAAAGTGGTCAATCCTTCTGAAATTGGTTGTAAAAGTGCATCCAGAAAAGATACTACACATTTTTCCGCTGGCCCCAGCTAATGTGTTGTATCTTTTCCAGAAGCACTTGTACATAAAACTAAAAAAAATGTACAGTCCTACCTGGGCAATTAAAAAAGTTGGGTGCAAGATTTTTTGGTATGGGTTTTGATTGGTTCTGTGATTCAGTTTTCAAATTTGGCAGTAAAAAGTAACAAGATTGCACTGTAAACATCATACATTATCCTGAAGTGGGAATGGTAAGTTGATCAAGAGTATAGTTTGTCACAAAAGCGTCATGATCTACTAATGCACACCTGAGCCATAACACCCATACTACATATGTGCAACAGGCTGAGTAAACAGGTGGCTACCATGTACATACAGGTCTGCTCAGTTGTCTGCTCATTTGAATAAGTAAATCACATGTGATACATCATGTCACTTTTTTCACTTTGAGAAAATTGTCCCAATTTGAGATGTAGGTGCCAAAAATCAGCACCTATGTGCTGTAGGCGCTGTTTGACAGCGCCTACTCAGGTGTACCGTGTGGGCGGTGTCTAGCAATTCCCCAAATAAATTCAGTAACACATTGACACCACATATCTTGACATGTTGCATTGAGGGTGAGTTTGAAATGAAATTCTGTTAGGATGGTTTAGGGCACATTTGGTTTGACTTACAAAAGTTTGTAAGGTACAAACTTTCCGACCCCGGAAAGTCAATTTTGGTTTCAAGTTGACTTTCATCAAAAAGTCAACTTAAGAGTACAGAAAAGCCATAATTTGTTTGTCAGCCAAAATCTTGTTGACCGTTTCAACTTTTCAACTTTCACATCTTTTGATTTGTTTTTAGTTCCAAAACCAGCAATTGATTTACTTTTTTACTCATAATTTTCTTGTCTGAAGATTTGATTAATTCCAAAAAAATGAAATACTTTTTTGCATATTGAACTTTTGTTTTGCTTATTGACCAGTGTGATTGATTTTCTAGTGAACAATAGAAATAACTAGCTTTCTCATCATTTAGATAGACGGCTCAATTGAGTGATATCATTAGAGGAGGTGTGGTGTATGGTGATTCGAGGTGAAGAATGGTGTCAATCAAGCATTGTGTTGAACCAATGTTGGGCCAGTGTGTTGCTTTGAGTGAGCAAAGTCAAGCAACAAACACAGTGTAATTTTACTAGTCACTGGCAGGCCAGTGAGTTCCATTCACCTCAATCCAATCTCAATTCAATGTCAGTTCAATATCAGTTTGACCCCCAATTATGTTTGAGTGGGTGATATGCATGAGCTGCATACCCTCTCAAACCTTCCAGACATTCTGACACCTTCATGTATGGACATACAACCAAACTTTATTCCAGTTCATTCTGGAAGGTTGTTTGTCTGCTACTCTAGGCCAAACATTGAGATTGGATTGATATTGAACTGACATGGATTTGAGATCGGATTGAGATTGGATTGAGCTGGACGTACTCACTGGCCTCCCAGTGAGTAGTAAAATGACACTTACACCGCAACGGGTGCACACAAGCAACGGCGGGCAACACAACGGTTCAGGTGTTGCTCGGTGCGTTGCCCCTCAGGAGCAGGTAAATTTACTGTTGTGTTGTGTTGTGGTGCGCTGCCGTTGCTGGCAACACAACGGGGCAACGGGGCCAGTCCGGCCCACTCAAGTTCCTGCTGTATATCATCATCAGCACTGGCAGCTCAGCATCCCTTCTGGCAACATCTCTTTGGGCCTATGGTGGTAGATGCCAGTTTGAGGGAAGGTATGTTGAGCCCCTGAGTGGGAAAAAGAAGGAAAGATTGAAGGAATAATATGCAAGTGATCTCACTGGCACTGGTGTTGAACTAGAGTACTGAAGCTCTGGTGTTGTGGATAGGTTGAGTGTTCTGTTTGAGTTGTTGAGAAGAGTTTGAAAGTGTAGATTTGATGAAATGAAGATTGGGGAGAATGCATATGAATGTCTCAGAGTCTTGGAACAGGGATCTAGCAGTAAGCTCTACAGCTTATCAGCACAAACTCGAACAACAACCTGATTAATGAACCTCTGACGTATAGGATGGTACAATTGATTAGTATATAAGTTATCGGATGTTAGATAACTGATCTCTGGATCTGAAGAGGGCTTCTTTTTCTCTTCCCAAATATATGATTATATTCACCTAGTAGTAAGCTCTACAGCTTATCAGCACAAACTTGAACAACAACCTGATTAATGAACCTCTGACCTATAACAACGGTAATGTGATTTAGAAAGATAACAGAGTAAGTAATGATGAGAGTGAGATGAAAAGAAAGTAGTTTGTACCTATAAGGTGGTACAGTTGTTTAGTATATAAGTTATTGTATGTTAGATAACTGATCTCTGGATCTGAAGAGGGCTTCTTTCTTCAATAGAAACAATACTGTTGGA